AGATGGTGGTGAGGTCTACAATGCTTTATGACATAGAATGTTAATTGGACACTAAAAGAGAAGTATAAACTTAAGTTAAGTTTTGCAGAGATGAGGATGCTAAGGTGGATGAGTGGCTTCAATCTTAGAGACAGAATTCAAAACGAGTATATACGTGAAAAAGTTGGAGTTGCTCCAGTGACATATAAGATTAGATAGACTCGCCTTAGATGGTTTGGTCACATAAAACGTTGGTCTTTCGATGACCTATTTAGGAGAGTAGATTTATTAGATTTGGCTTATAATAAGAAACGTAGAGGAAAGCCTAAAAAGACTTGGTTTGAAAATATTGGAAATGACATTTTTTTTATTAGATTTAAATGAGAATTTGACTCTTAATTGGTCACAATGGAGAAAAAATGATTCATGTAGTTGACCCATGTAGTGGGATAAAGACTTGATATTATTGTTGTTGTTGTTGGAGGGGAACTAATTTTGTATATTGAATTGAATACTGAATTCATATATTTCTCTCTCTTTTTAAAAATTATAAAATCTAAGTTGTGTGTTTTCATTGATGTAAATTGTGAAATATATTGTCCTACATATACAAATTAAGGCAGAAACTAAAGCATATAATTTGTCAATTACAATCAGTTAAGAATCGAGCAAATTATGATAGTTCCTATACTTGTATTAGGGAGATGAAATCTACATCCCTATAAATATGAATGTTAAATAAGGTATAAGATTTCCATTTGTGCATTTTGCCCTAGGTTATGCCCAATCCCTGCCCCATTCGCCATTTAGAAAGCAGAGGAGGAGAAGTTGAAGGAGGCAAAGAAGCGCACCTTTGGTGAGTAACTCTTTCATAATAACTATTAATCCCTTCTCTTTTTTGCTTTGATTTTGTTCTGAGCTATATAGGAATTTGAATCTCTATTATATTATAATATTTGTTGATATTATTTGGTTAAGAATTCTTGATTGTTTTAGTTTGATGTTAATTTTGAACAAGTTGGAGGAATTCTTAACTTGTATCTTAGTCTATTGGTTATCTTTATTTCATTGATAAAATAATATTCTCATTACTTTTACTTCATAATAAAATAAAAACACACATACTCTCATTTATTTTCTTTTCATTAATCTAAGACCTTAACAACCAAATCCTTATCCTTGATCCTTTAGTATAGATCGATGTGTAGGTATAGAATTATTACTGTTTTTTGGTTTAGTAAATGAATCTAATGCTTCATTTGGGATGACTTTTTTACTGTTTCTTAAAGCAGCTTTCTAGTATAAATTTATACTAGAAAGCTGCTTTAAGAAACAGTAAGAATGCCACTCCAAATGAAGCCTAAGTTTAATAAGCATTATATTGAATTCATACTTCATTCATAATGGATTGTTATTTATAGTGCTTATGGTGTTAACCTCATTTGAATTTGTGGATTGTTAATGTGATTGCTATAATGTATTTGTAATATGATTTTGATATGAATTTATGATTTAGGGTGAAGATTTATATTTACACAAGGGTTCAGAGTTTAGAAAATATATCAGCATTTGAAGAAGAAAATTCAAGTAGAGATTGATATTGAAAATCTGTCATCTAGCATAGGTTGTGGCCTTCAATTTGAAACTATCATGTTAATGATATAGATAGAGTTTGGAGAGTTTTTTTAGTGAAAGGACCATTTTAGCCAAAAAGTCATATTTTTTTCTAAATCATGTTTGATTTGAAATTAATTGAAGAATAATCAAAATGGTTGGAGTATATCATGTTGAAATACATTTCATTTTATCTCTATTAGTTTCATTTTAAGTCTCAAGACCATGCTTTTCATCATGAATGATATTGGTGATTCTTACCTCTCTATTCTAGTTGATGACTCTCATGATGTACTAATGAAGGAAAAATTGGCTCAGGCAATGAGATATGTTGATGAAAATAGGTAATTTATTGAGTGATTCAGTATTATTGAAAATGTTTTTTCAATCAATATAGTTGCACTTAACGTAGTCTTTAAGGCTATATTTGCCAAATATTCATTAATCTTACGAAGGATACTCAATGAAGGCTATGATGGGGCGTCTAGTATGCGAGAAGAGTTTTATGGATTGAATATGCTCGTTCTTGATGATAATCTTCAATCATTCGGTGCCCATTATTGTGCTCATCAACTTATATTATGTTTAATAATTGTAGCAAAGATTTGTTGGTAAGTGAATCATCTTTTTGAGTTTAAGAATTATGACTAAGTTGAAGCATCTTATAAGAGGATTGATACTCTTAAAATAATTTAATATGACTAAGTTTTTGCATGTCCAAACTGGAGCTTAATTAGTGGTCAAGGCTTCCATCATGAGATTTGTTTGCAATGAACTGACAACATTTGTTGGGTTTGCATTTTCATATTTTGATCTCATGAAAATGTATACTATTGATGTTGGTGTGCTAATTGAAGCAATTCAATCTTTTGACTTTGTCTCCATAATATATTTAATGATTAACATTTTGGAATTCACAAATGATAATCACAATTCTTAAAAAAAAAAAGATATTGAGAATGCGATAAAATTTGTGCAAGTGTCCAATAAGTGACAGTAGATAATGAGGGAAAATGTATGAAAATCTGTATAGGATGAAGTATCATATTTTTTCAATGTCTTTAAAATTTTTGTAAGTATCCAAGCTTTATATTCACGTTTCGTCGAAGGTTATTATGGATAGTAAGTTATGCTTTTATTATTATTATGTTGAATTGTTTTGCAATGTAATTGATATGTAATTTTAAGAGCTGAATAATCATTTATTTAAGGCTAGTACTAAGTTACTTATTTGTACCTTGCTCAGGCATGAATCTGGAGGCATATTCAAAATTAAATGCAAGGCCATCTGAACTCTAATTTAAGCTAACTTATAATCAAATTGAATGTCTCAATGAGAAGAGTCCAAGGATACCAAAATCGGTCAAATACGAGCTCAAATAGGTTCAATTCAAGGAACCGAAGCATATATTTGGAAGCTTCAGAGTATAAATTGGATATTCAAATGATCTTCAAATATGACATGCTTATAATCAAAGAATTTGGCTCGACGAGACGAGTCCAATGATCCCAAGATCTCTTAATTCTGATATCATTAAAGCACTTGAAAGCTTCATGAACACTGTGATCAAAGTAATCGATATGATTAGTCTGATGGAGCACTCCGAATTTGTCCTAGATATTCTTTATATTTACAGGATATGTCACTCTCAAAATTATAAATAGACTCTCCTCACATGATTTTTTTTTTTGGAGCCCTGGGCTAGAGACTCACGAGAGCTCTTAGGCTTCAAGCATTTCATAGCTCTACCACGGCACCACCGTCGGCAAACCTTCACCCCCAGGCAGCCGCTGCAAGATCTATGCACAACCATATTCATCGGACCTCTATCCAACGGCCATAATCGGGCCTTTGTTCGACCTCCGTCGCCTTGTCAGCTACAGCACCTCTGACCACAGTCCTGCCGACCATAGTCCCTCGCCGATTACGATCCTTCCAACCACCAACCTAGCCAACTACGATCCTTCTGCCCACCATCGTCATCTAACCTCCATTGCCCTCCAACCATGGTCCCTTCGACCACCCTCGCCCTTCTCACCCATCAACCACGGTCCCTCCGGACCCTATCGCTCGCCGACCATGGTCTTTTATGCCCCCGTTGTCCATCGATCATGATCCCTCTGACCCCCATCACTTGCCAACTGTGGTCCCTCTGGCCTTGCAAAGGGGTTATAATGAAATACAAGACACAAAAATTCTTAATGAAGTTGTTACACAATAATATGAATATATATATATAATTGGTTAGAAAAATTATTGATATAGCATCAAAAAAATTATCTTGATCAGACATGAATCTCAAGGCAAAATTAGGTTGGAAGCTTCGAAAATTAAATCAGGGACCATCTAAATTTTGATTTCAGCAAACTTACAGCTGAACTGAGCATCTCGGAAATACGAACCCAACGACACCAAATTCAACTCAATCTGAGCCCAAACTAGTCCAAATCAAAGACCCAAAGCGCATTTGGAAGGTTTAATCCATAATTTGGATTACCAATTAGTTTCCAAATATGGCATGTTTATAGTCTAATCGGGCGGCTCGACGAGATGAATCCAACGAGCCCAAGTGTAATATCAGTTCTGCTCCAGGTTCGTTCGGGACGAAGTTGGATCGTCCGGGACGATCGGTACAGGTTTGTTCAGAATTGTGAAAATTGGGCAGTTCGTCCGGGACGAAATGTGGGATTGTCTGGACGAAAATTTTCCAGAGCCCAAGTCGTCCTGAGACGATAATTAATTTCGTCTGGACGAGAATTTTCCAGAGCTCAGATCGTACCGGGACGAAGTGCGATCGTCCAGGACGATCTGAGTATTTTAAAGAGGAAAGGAGATATTTTGAAGAGAGAGAAAAAAAATAAAATATCAGAAATTCCATCCGTGAGAAAAGGAAAAAGAACATAGTAGATATATAGTTCA